TATATATATAAAATAATAATAATTTTTTATTTGATTTACATGTAATATGTTCAAAATCTTGATTAGACTTAATTTTTATTTCTTTTTTTTTTAATCTTAATTATATAATGCATGTTTTGATCTTTACTTACCTTAAAGACCTATTACTCAAGAACTATTTTTTTGGGTTGCTAAATTCCCAACAATTTCAAAAATGAGACTTTCCTCTGTGTATATTTGAGAAAATATTCTTTGATGTTTTCATAATTTTCATGCTGTGCATTAATTTATTTTTTAAAAAAAAAGTTTTGATTATTTAAGGTGGGTGCCTGTATATACTGACAAATCTCAAAGTTTTGCTGTAATGTCTATTGGTTTTTTATTGAATGATAGAAATGATGCAGTAATATGGAGAGGCCCTAAAAAGAATGGTAAATTAATTACAAATTTTATATTTATGTGTTGCCATTTTAAAGTAATGTAATATGTATTAAATTTACTTGATATCTTATAAAGGGTACATTAAAATAAAATTTATAAGCGGTTTTTATTCTGTAATTACTAAACATCATTGATAATTTTTAATAAATTATAAACAGAATATAAAGAAATAAAAGTAATACAGAAATAACATTTGCAAAGAAAGATTTCCAACATTTCCTCTTAAAGTTTCTAATTTCCATTCAACTATCCATTCAACTATCTACCATTTCATTCAACAAGGAAAAAAACATGTATAAACAGAATCACTACTCACTTTTCTTACTGCAAATTTCTTTTACTTGCTTAGTTTATCATTAGTGTAATATACTGTAATATACAAAATGTAAAAAAAAATAATAATTACTATAAATTTAGCAATATATTATTTACTATTTATTATACATTGTTTTTAATTTATGTATACTAAAATCAAATTTAAAATTATATATTAAATAATATTGAATTTAAAATGACTCATCTTGCTTCACGTGAAATATTTTGCATTGTAAATTAAACTATTGGATTATAAAATTATTTCTCTCTAAAATGCATTCTATTTGATGAACAGCGTCATTTAAATGAAATTTAATTAATTATTAAAAAGGAATGCAAATGTTTTATATTAGTGGGTATATTTTTTTATGACATGTATTCAAAAGCAGTTGTATGCAACCAAATGAAAAGTTTAAAAACATATTTTGTCTAGGACAGTGTTTCCCAAAGTGTGGTACGCGTACCCCCAGGGGTACGGGAACAGTTTAGAGGGGGTACGCGTTCTTATGCGAAATGTCTTACAACAAATGAAAATTTCAAAAAAATTTATTTAGAAACAAAGCTAGTCATAAAAATTTATATATTCGTAATACGTATAGTTTCATACGTATTACGTCAGCAAAAATACGTATTTTTGCATTGGCTATTTTTTTGCAGAGTTAATTTATTAGTGGTGTCAGCAACCAGTTGTGATTTTTAACTTTTGTGCATTTTTTTATCACAGCAAAAACAATGTTCTCACTGATGCAAATGAACTTATTAACAAAACTTTGTTCCAAAAAAGAGAAATAAACATATTTTTCAAAAAATTCATTAATTTTTTTTATGAGTGGTACACAACGTTACGAAAAATTTAGAAAGGGTACACAAAAGTCATAAGTTTGGGAAACACTGGTCTAGTATAATGAAAACTCTCATTTTACATCCTGTAATATATTTTTCATTGCCTATCTAATTTTTCAGAACCTACTCGAATTTAGAACAAAATTTTTCTTACAGCAATGATTAAACAGTTCCTGACTGATGTTCATTGGCAGAATCTTGATTATTTAGTTATTGATATGCCACCAGGAACTTCCGATGAACATATAACACTAGCTGAGTGTATCAAGAATAAATCAAATGTTGGAGCTGTTCTTGTAACAACACCTCAGGTATTTAATACGCACAAATAATATTTTGTTCTCTTTTCTTAAAATAATTAACAATAAATAATAATTAATTTCATTCTTCAAATCATTGTAATCAATAAATTTTCCTAAAATTGTAACATAACACTATGCCAAAATATAAATTAATTACATTATTCATAATTTTAAATGCATAAATTAAGTTTTTGTTTAATGCTTATTACTTGCTTCAAAGAAACTGTATAGTATATAACTTATATGTGCTAGATTTATCAAGAATCTTTTTTTTATATTAACTAACTGAGTGTTTGTTTGTGACACCTTAAGACATGATTTTACTGTTGTTTTTCTTACTGAAAAACCAGTTTCTTCTTTTGTTATTCAATTACAGCAAGTTGTGTATTGAAAAGTTTTAAATAGTAATTTTAAATAACAATTTGATAAAAATTTTACTCATTCATCTTTGAAAGTTCGTTATAAAATTATTATTATTTTTTTAAAAATAAGCTGTTGGAATCAGTTTTCTATTGAATACAATAATAATGATTCTAAACAGATATTGAGTTTTCCAATTAATGTTTCATTCTGTGCAATATAACTTGTTTTCCGTTGTAAAAAAATAAATGAATAAATGTTATGAACTTTTTATTTATTGTTACTAATATGATTATTACTATACGAATCTGTCCAACTGCAAAATCTAAGACTTTATCTGCTTTGTTTTCTTAAAAGTGTAATAGTTTCTTGTAAAAATGCTTTAAACAAGAGATTTGTTATAATAATCATTTATAATTTTTGTTTAACCTAGAATTTTATCAAGAAATCCCTTTGTGTAGCATTATTCATTACTAATATTTTACTGGCAGACATTGCTAGTTTAAATTTATTAGTTTCTTTTGTTATTAACTATTTATCTAGAATATTTTGTCTGTTATTTTACGTTCCTAAATCTTCATGTTTCATAATTATAATTTCTTTTTTTTTTAAT